ATATGTCATTTAGGATTAGTTATTGCTAAAGGTAGAAATTAGAATGAGTTTCTCCATCAATGGTTAGATAGTACTTCTTTATTTGACCCCTGACAAATCCTGGGTATCCTGATCAAAGACAAATGTAAAAGTGTAAAACACAATGTACTCATACTGGAATGCTTAATTTTGACATGTACTGTATCACTACTGAAGACTGTGGATCCAAACAATGTGGGTGAAATACTGTGGAGCAAAACTGTTCTACTGTATGCCCGATATAAAAAGTGATCGCTAAATTTCACAAGAATACAGGATGACTTTTTTTGCTTTTAAGAGCTGTAGGTTAAGCCATCTTATGCTGAACCTAAAAAAGCCCCAACTAATTGCACACTTTATGCACATTTTTTTTTTAGAAAAATACAGATTAACCCTGATGCACCAGTGCTTTTGAAAGTTGCAGAAGTACTAAATTGCCTTATAGTATGAGTTGATCAGGTACAGGTAAAGAGGTGGTTTAACCATCCTCTCAATGAAATGTGTTGATAAAAACAAAAGCCAGAAAGGAACAGTTATGTCATGAGTAAAATATCTTCCTTCCATCAGCATGACGCTGGAGCAAGATCTCAGGCAGACTAGACAGCAGTGGAGCCAAGGTCTTTTAACTGATGAATCAGGCATTTGTGTTGCACAGGACCAGACCTGAGCTCTATTGATTATTAGAGGGATGATTAATGGCTGAGGGAACTAAGACACTGAATCTTCTATCTGATCCAAAGCCAACATCAGATCAGCATGATGAATTTCCATATGTCATATCTGTTCAGTAAAATGACAGTACACCTGTTACAAAACAGAGTGGCATTTTTCTGAAAACGTGAACATATTGCCATTGTGAGGAGGCTTTGATGTTCTGTATTCTCAAGTGTTCTGAATACTTTAGTTATATATCTGCTGTGCTATATTCAAATATTCATTCGCTTGCTCACTAAATGAATTTTCATGCATCTATTCAGAGCTCTGGAATGTTGAAATTATTGTCCTCTAGACAGAAAGAAACTGTCCAGTTTGCCAAAAGCACCTTTGTGTGCTTCTATGAATAAATAAATAAATCACCTACTTAATTGAAAGACTGTGTTTCCAAAAATAGCTAATCTTTCATGTACAAAGATCTTGGATTCATCGAATCTGTGACCTGCTTGCCAGTTCAAGATGACAAATTATTGTAGTTTTCCCACAGAGATGAAGTTAAAAGCCTCAGCAAGCAACAGGCCACAGACAAGAGTCTGCACTCGAGCAACCCACAGATAAGTGAACAGGCTGAAGGTTTAATTAAAAGTGAGTTCAATATTGTGTGCCTGATATGCATTGTTTTGTAAATGTTTCGGGCATCCACGTGACTCATCCAGCACAGGCTCTTGGAAGGAGTTCAGACTGAGCCCGGTAGCCCAGACTGAGTCATTGATTGATACCTGAGCTATATCGGTTACTGACTTTTGCAGCTGAGAGTTCCCTGGTGCCTGTTATCTCACAGTA